CACAGAGATCTGCCTGCCTCTGTCTCCCAAGTGCTGTGGTCAAAGGCATGTGCCACCTTTGCCTGGCTAATTTTTCTTTCTTCTTTGTTGGTCTAGTAAAGAGTTTACCATTTCAAAAATCAACCCTTATCTTCTCTCTTTTATACTAGATTTATTTTTGTTCTAATTTTTATACTTACAGCTTTTGTTCAAATGTCTCTGATAGATTTATTTCAGTTACCATAGTTTTCATAACCAACATTTCTTTTTGGTTTACCTTCATATTTTCTATCTTTTAAGTTAATATTCACATATATAATTTAGAATTTTTTCTTTTAGATTTTTGTCCATGTTTCCCTTTAGGTATTTGAGCATATTCAAACCAACGGTTTTTAAAGTGTTTGCTTGGTGAATCTTATTGTTTTATTTTCTAAGGGAGCTTCCTACTAATTTGTTTGGCTCCTTTTGTTTATGTATCTGTGTGTGTCTCTGTATGCATATGGGCATTTATGTGTGGATGCCCACATGGTCCAGAACAGGGCATTTGACTAGTTCAAGACAGAGTTACAGGTAGTTTTTGAGCTGCTTGACACAGGTGCTGGGAACTGATCTGGGGTCCTCAGGAAGAACAGCAAGTGATCTTAACCACTAAGCCATATCTCCAGCTCTTCATTTTGCTCCTTTAACTGGGTTATTCTTTCCTATTTTTTCCATGCATTGTGATTTTTATTTGTTGTGGAAAACCTTACATTTAGATGGATTTGGTGGCACATTCCTGGGATTCCAGCACTTTGGAGATTGAGGTAGAAAGATCCCAACATCTAGGCCAGCCTAGGCTTTATATTAAGTTCAAGACCAGACAAAGAAGAATACATTTGAATGTGTCCTAAAATGTTAATGCTGTAAATTATAGTCCCTTTTCCTCCAACCTGGTTTTTCTGCTTGTTTTTGAAAGCCTTAATAATGTGTTTGTTTAGTGACTTTTCTAAACTAATTTTGTGAACACTATTCCATGTGTGTACCCATGAAGTATCTGTTTCTTAGCTGGCATTTTAATAGAGATTTCCTAAACATAAGGAGCCAAAACACACATTCACTCTCCGAAAAACCCTCCCTCAAACCAAAAACCAAATTTGTAAAAAATGTCAAAGTAAAAAAGAAAATTTATCTTCTTAATTTTGCAAAAACTGCTGTATTTAGGGCAGTGCTGGCCTAAGAATCAGCTCGTGGTAATAGCTTAGGGTCTGCTCAGTTCTTTTCTGAGCACATGCTTTTGGAATTCTACCATTAACACTTTTTCTTTTGAGTATTTTTGTTTTGTTTTGTTTTTTTGGGACAGAGTTTCTCTGTGTGACAGCTCTGGAACTCTATAGACCAGCCTGACCTAGAACTTACAGAGCTTCACCTGCCTCTGTTTGCCTCTTGAGTGCTGGAATCAAAAGGCGTGTGCCACCACACCTGGTCTACAGTTTTAAAACACATTCTTTGGCCTGTAAAGTCCTAGAGCGTGGAAGCGATGTGTTTTGTCGTTTACTCAGCTTGCTTGAAATGACCTTTTCTTCATGTTATGCAAGCCCTTACTTACCTTTCAGGTCTCACTTCTACCCTGAAGCCTGTCCGTCCTCCACTCTTGAGCTTCTACAACCTTCTTTTGTGTTTATGTATCCAGAAATGGCTGAGGACTTGCAATGTAGATGAGGTTGGTTTCAAATGTGCAGCAATTCTCCTGTCTGTCTTTCAGGTGCTAGGATTAAAGGCATGTGCTACCAGGCCCAGCTTGCCTCATTTTTGTTTGCTTCACCAAACTGGGACTAATTCTGTTAAAAAAAAGCCCTACATAAACCAGTCATAGTGATTCATGGCTGTAATCCTAGCCCTCAGGAGATGGGGGCAGGAGGGAGGCAAGAGGCAGGAGGATCACAATCTAAAGGGCCAGCCTGGGCTACGTAACAGCACTGACTAAGAAGCCAACAAAAACTCAAAATGAAGGAAAGAATGAATCAACAAAATAAAATGAAACAATTGAACCCACACTTAATGACAAAATCCTGGGTACCAGATCCTGTTATGCACTGGCTATAGCTAGGTATGATCCATTTTCCTGGATGTTGCTGGACAAAATGACACAGCAGCAAATGAAAAGTGCTGCGCTTAGTGAGGAGCTGTTCAGCATCACTGAGTGTCTTTCAATATCAACTTGTAAGTGTGTGGCATATTTTACATTCATAAACTAACATATTCCCCAGTGATGTTCAGCTTCTTATTAATGAAAGTTAGCAAGGTTTATATAGTTTTTTTTTTTTGACTCAGTATCCACACTGGCCTCAAACTTGTGATCTTCCTGCCAAGGTAACACATTTCCCCCCACTTGCTGTTTTTTTTTTTTCCAAAACCCAACAACTGCATCAGAGGTTTCTATAGTGTAGTCCCTGAAGCCGACTTTGGAACTGTTAGAAACGCAGTTTCTCAGGTCTCATTTTAATCTATGAACACAGAACCCCTGGCAGTTCACAACTTCCAACAGTCCTTGCTTTGACAAACCCTCTAGGCGATGCTGACTGACATATCACCCTAGGTAGGCTTCTGGAGTTTGTATGCGTCTATAGAAATGGGGCTACTGATGGGAGTGCTACTGCAGGAACCCTTTTTCTTCCCAGCACCTCTTTCACCACATGCCCCCCCCCACTAGCTTCCAGATTGCATCACCCTTGCCTTAGGCCCTCCCTGGTGTGCAATCACTAGCCAGACACTCAGCCCACTAGCTGCAAAGAAGGCGGGGTCTCATCTGGATGTCTGGAGGGGCAGGGTGCCCGGCTCAGTCAGGGGCAGACTTTCTGTGCTGCAGAGCTAGGGCTGCAATGGCCAAACAAGCAGTCTAGGGGATTGAAGCTTTTCTTGTATGTCACTGTCTCTTAGATCCGCGAGTTTGGAGGTACCACCCTTTTAGTACTGGTTTTCTCCATTTTTTTCCAATCAAGGGAAAAACATCAGAGGGGGGACCCTGAGGCCTGTGGCAGTGAGGCTCCATCATTGGTCGATGGCGAGGGCGCATGCGAACCAGTGACAAAGACTTCATTGCAGCTGGAGGAGGCTTTGGGGAGGGGAGGTGTGAGAGCGCAGCCTGGTGGGGAGTTTGCGTCAGGGGTGCAGAAAGCTGATAGTTGGGCAGGGGGTGGGCAGGACAGAAATGGAGGAGTTTTGGACGCCAGGGAGAATAGCTGGGGTTGTCCCCCGCCCCCCCGGCAGAGGTGAACCGATTGTCCAGGCAGCCATAGAGCCACACTAGGGTGGCCAGGCGAGTGGCCACCAGGGGGTGACCGTGCCTGCAAAAGACTGCAAGTGGGATCCATGTAGTCTGCAACACAGGTTTTGAAAGCGTTTATTTTTGTATCTGCTACCTTTCCTGCCTTGACATACTAGAGAAAATGGATGCTGGGTGACTCGTCTTTGTCAGAGCAGCACTTAGCGAAGAACTGATAGAAAACTGACATATGACTAAGACCCTTGACTGAAAGATGAGACTGACTAAATAAATCAACAGCTAGAGGATAATTCACAAATGACAATGTTTGGATCTTTGTTTTTTAACGCATAGAGAAGAAAATTTAAATGTCCTTTAGCTAATCCTAAGCCCCCACACTTTTTACATTGTTACAATCACAGTATACACATAACCTTGTATCCTTAGTTACAGCATAATAAATTTTCCCTGTTGCTATAGAATTTCCAGTGCCTTCATCCCTATGTAATAGCTGTAGAATGTTCTATCAGACAGCTGTGCTTAACCTGTTTACTTTTGTTAGATGTCAAGACAACTTTGCAGTACTTGATCAGGAAAAAAAAGACCCTGCAAGGAACAATTTTGCTCCTTGGGAGTGTGCATTGATTTTGAGGCAGAATCTCTGGGAAAATACCATGAACGTTTTTTAAAGCTTTTGTTAAGTTGCTTTCCCAAAAGGGATCATACTGGTTGACATCAGAGGTCAAATCAGAAATCGACTCTGGTGACGCTGGGTCTAGTCTGTCTCCAGGCTGGGTTTAATTTTCCTGCCCTGCAGCCGCGCTCAACTTTATTATTAGTCTTGACCTTTGGGGCAAGGCAAACACACACCAAAGGTCCAGGGACAACTTTAGCAACTGCGACAGCTGACATGGTGAGCCACGGCAGCTCATGTTTCAGGCTTGAGCAAGTGGCTAAGATGAATTTGCCTTGCTGAGAGGGAATCTGAGATGAGGAACAGGTTTGGGAGGGAGTAGATGAGATCAGTTTTAAATATGTTTAGTTCTAAGGGCCTTTGGGACATCTAAGGGGAGGTAGCTAGGAGACAGGCGTACATATGAATAAACAACAGCCTGCCCTTCTCTGAACTCCCAGGGTCCCCTGTCTGGATCCCTGTGGCTTTTGTTGCCTTTTACCTTGCTGTGAGCGTCCCGGGAGCTCCTTCAGTCTGGGACAAGGGCCTGCTTTGTTGTGTGTGTGTGTGTGTGTGTGTGTGTGTGTGTGTGTGTGTGTGTGTGTGTGTGTGTGTGTGTGTGTGTTCCCTTTTCAGGACCCAGCATAGTGTTTTCCACCTTGAAAGTCTTGGATGATTCCTGTTTTTAGGACTCTAACCCGAGGGGGAAAGTTGAGAAAGATTGACAGAGTTCTGGGAAGGCTTCCTGTAAGAGGTGGCATAATGTTGCTCTTAATAATTCTGATTATTTGTTGCATCGTTACTACATGCCAGTTACATCATTACCTACATACATCATAGATGCCTTCTTACCTGGCATTCTTCCATCTCTCTGTGTGTGGAGTCTGGGAGTTCTACTTACAGACAACTCTTGCTAAATAGTCCAGCAAGGAGTAACTACCTACTACATCTTTCACTTTAGGGCACAGTATCTGATCCAAGTCCAGTGCCACCACCTATGAGTGAATGGTCCAGCTTTAGTAGATGAGGTGGGCCAATCCGATCTGTTCTCCTTGGGAATGTGAAATAAGAGATGCAGAGGGATGTTGCCAGTTAGTTGTGGGGAGCTAAGCTGAGAGGTCCAGTACACCAAGATGCTAGTTGGGTTGGGAGTGCTATGGACTAGGTCAAGTGCCTGTTGAACAGCTAAATGTGGTTGACTAAACAAGGAGCATGGGGCAGTTGTGCAGAGAGAAGCAGACATGTAACATGGATGAGTCTTATTAACGACAAACTTCTAGAACAGAGGTTCAGGCTACGTCTAGACATTTCCCGAAGCTCCAGGCACAATGAGCTCTATTTGTACTTGAATTCCTACCCTTGGATTTCTGCTTCCTGATCTGGCTTCATTTGGTGCCTGTTTCTTGCATCCAAAAGAGGCCCAACCAAAGCAACCCTTTACATAGATTTCATTTAATTTGTGCTTCGTCCCCTCTGAGGTGAGTGTTCTTTTCCTCGTTTTACAAATGAAGAAACTGAGGCTTAATGAGATGAACTTGACTAAGTGATTTATTCAGTCTATCTGATTCTCTGAATTTATTTATTTTTATTTTTTGAACTTATTTTTTAAGCAGCAGTGTAACATTGTCATTTAAAATTGCTACCAGTATTTTATTTATAAAAAAGTGAAAGAAAATACAGGCTTAATCGCATCTGATCTTACCCTATCAGACTGTCAATCGGCTACGCCAACTCCCCCTTTATTTTCTAGTTATATTGCTATTCCTCTTGTTTTTCTGGTGGTTGGCTCCTTCATGTCCTTTAAGTCTCAACTTGTTTGTCACCTCCTCAGAGAGGCCTTTGGTCAACTTCACAACGTGAAATCACCCACCCGAATTGTTTCCCCACTGCTCTCTGTCATATTATTTTTTTCTTTTCCACATAGACCCTTCACTGCCTGAAATTTTCTTGTTCATTTGTATGATTTGCTTATTGTCTAGTTCCCCTTCAAAAATAGCAACTGAAGCCTCACCTGAATCCTCAGGACCTAAAAGATCCTTCATAGAACAACTTAAACTGCTATTTGATGAACAAATGAATGTATAAACTAAAAAAAGTCCTTAGTCAATCCTTCTCTCCCAATGTCAATCCCCAGAGGCATCGTAACTAATTTCTTCCATATCTTCCAATGCATTTCCTATGACTCTAAAATCATGTATACATCTCTATATAAGGATAAGTATGATCATATACTTTTTTTAAACCAATGGACATTCTGCAACTTTTTTATATAATACATAACAGTTTATGGATAACATCTTATGTATCAGAACCTCATTAAAATAGTAATACCATATTGTATGGCAGTATGAGCATAAAGTGGAAGTTATGTAAACTGGTTTTCCTTAGTGGGTGTTGTTTTTTCTTATTATTGTAAGAAGTAGTGTTGAATAAATACTCTTGTCAAATACATATCTTCCCAAATGTTTCCCATACCTGTTCATTGTCTTTGACTTTTCTTGTCATATATGTGATGACCAACTTCATTTGAAGTTATGTATGGCCATGTTTGTTGGTCATTTCTTTTATGGAATCTGGGTTTCATTTTATGCCTTACATAGATGTTACTAGTTTCAAATACTAATATTAAAAGTGGTTTATACAACCTTTCTGCTAGTACTTTCATGCTTTCAATTTTACAGTCAAGCCATTGATCTATGTGGAATTTATTTTGGGGTAGAATTGGAACAGGGGTACAGTTGCTTTGCCCTTCAAATGCTGTGTCTACCGTTTTAGTATGATCTATTGAATAATTTCTTGGAACTGTAGAACTGAAATATTGTTCTTTTCATTGAGTTTTCATATGTGCTGTTCATTTCTGTTCTTTATCTTCGACTCTATCTATCTGAGTGTCTATGTCTGTACAAGTGCCATCCTGTTTTAATCAATGTAACTTTATACTACATTTTCATATTTTGTAGGGTAACAGTCCTTTGATTCCTTTTCCAGGAATTTTTTTTTGTATTTCCACATATTTTTCCATGTGAACCTTATCATTCCCAAATATCCATTGAGAGTATGATAGAGATTATATTGAATGTGTCTGTCAGTTTTGGAGAAGATTGTTATCTGGTTGACAGTGACATTGAGTCTTCCTAGCCCAAAGGAAGGGCTGGGCTTCTAATTACTCAAGTGCTTTCTGGTTCTCGGCATCATTTTTTTCTTTTTTCTTTTACATACCAATCCCAGTACTCCCTCCCTACCCTCCTCCCATTCTCCTCACTTTCCCCTTACCCCATCCCCATCTGCTCCTCAGAGAAGATAAGGCCTCCCATGGGGAGTCAACGAAGTCTGTTCCTTCACCACATTGAGGCAGGACCAAGGCCCTCCCCACTGTGTAGGGGTCGAGCAAGGTACCCCCACATAGAAAATGGGCTCCAAAAAGTCAGTTTATGCACTAGGGATAAATCCTGGTCCCGCTGCCAGTGACCCCACAAAGTCCCCAAGCTATCTACTGTCACTTGAATTCAGGGGACCTACTTGGGTCCTATGCAGGTTTCCCTGTCACTCTGAAGTCAGTGAGCTCCCACTAGCTCGGGTCAGCTTTTTCTGTGGGTTTCCCCATGCTGGTCTTCATCCCTTTGCTCTTAGTATTGCTCCTCCCTCTCTTCGACTGGACTCTGGGAGTTCTGCCCAATGCTCAGCTGTGGATCTCTACATCTGCTTCTATGAGTTACTGGATGAAAGTTCTATGATGACAATTACAGTATTCCTCAATCTGATTACAGGGAAAGGCCAGATCAGGCACCCTCTCCACCATTGCTTAGAGTTTTATCTGGGATCATCCTTGTGTATTTCTGGGAATTTCCCTAGTGCCATGGTATTTTTCCTAACCCCATAATGGCTCCCTCAATCAAGATATCTCTTTCCTTGCTCTCCTCCTCTGTCCTTCCTCCATCTCGACCATCCCATTCCCTCTTGTTCTCCTCCCCACACCCCTTCTCTCCTCCTCTCTCCCCTTCCCCTCTGCCACCCTCTGAATTCACTCAGAAGCTCTTTATTTCCTCTTCCTCGGCAGATCCATGTACGTCTCTCTTAGGGTCCTCCTTGTTTTCAGGCTTCTCTGGAGTCGTGGAGTGCAAGCTGGTTATCCTTTGCTTTATTTCTAATATCCAGTTATGAGTGAGTACATACCATACTTGTCTTTTTGGGTCTGGGCTATCTCTCTCAGAATATTTTTTTTATTTCTGTCCACTTGGCCGCAAATTTCAAGATGTCATTCTTCTTTCACCTCTGAGTAGTACTCCATTGTGTAAATGTACCACATTTTCCTTATCCATTTTTTGTTGAGGGCCATCTAGGTTGTTTCGAGGTTCTGGCTATTACGGTAATGCTGCTGTGAACAAAGTTGAACAAATGTCCTTGTGGTATGAGTGTGCATCCTTTGGATATATGCTCAAGAGTGGTATTAATCTCAGCACCATTTTCAAGTTTCCTAGATCTTCTGAATATTTCTTCTTTTTGGTTGTTGCAGTATAGGAATTCTCCCCCATTACCATCTGTACTTGTGATGGAATAATGATTATTAGCACATCACTAAAATCCGTTATTGTTTCTAATATGCTTTCTACAGATCCCATCATGCTTTCAAATTATGTGGCCATGCCATCAACAAATAAGATTATTGTCTGTTTCAAATTTTGTGACTCCTTCAAATCTGTTATCCATTGTAGAATGTAGTGTATTCAGAATAGTCTTAGTGGTGATGAAGTGGATTTATCCCCTTTTCTGGCTTTATTAGAAATTCTCGCATTTCAATATTTATCATGATACTGGTGTTCGGCTAGAAATACATTCTTTAAAAATTATGTCTTTGTTTGGTAATATGCACTTTGTCCAAAGCTCTTTGATGTTTTGAAGACTCATTTTTGAAATTATTGAATAGCATTTGTGCTAGGGTTTGTTTGCTCATTAAAGGGAATCTTGATTTCTTTCAAGATTTGAAAATTACAAGTAAAGCCGCTCTAAGTGTTTATGTGCAGACTTTTGATTAATACAAGTTCCATCTCATTTGAGTAAGTACCAGGGGTGTCATTATGGGATCATAAAGTAAACACATATTTAGTTTTGTAAGAAATAGTTGAACTTGTTTTCTGAAGCCACTTTGTGTTCCTACCAGCAGTGCCTGAGAGCTTTGTTTTCCTATGTTCTCACCACCCCTTGATGCTTTCAATACTTTGGATTTAGACAGTTCTAATAGTGGAGTGGCATTTAATTATTGTTTGAACTTTTGGTGCTCTAATGATATAAGCAGAAGAAGTTATACAAACAACTATTGCATGCTGCCTCTCATAGGTGATAGCAAATCTGAATCCAGAGTAATGATATGAACATAGACTAGTCAGAGGCTGGGAGCTAGGCAAGAGGATAAAAGGAAGATGTACTGAAGTGATAACAAATATCTTCTTTGATGAGGTGTTTTTTAGGTATTCTGCCAATTGCAATTTTATTTATTTATTTAGTTTATGTGTTTGAAGGGTATTCATGGATGTGTAAGTGCTCATCACTGAAACTCATAACTACAAAGACAGGAAGAAGTCATCGGATAGCCTCTACTATTCTCCATCTATTCTTTTTAAGCACTGTCTCTCTTTGAACCTGTGGCTCATGTTTTTTCAGCAAGGTCGAAACTAGCAAAGCAATCACAATCTTCCAGTCTCTGCCTGGCTAGACGCTGGGGTTACAGGCATGCTTGGAACATCTAGGTTTTATGTGAGGGTTGGAATCTAAACCCTAGCCTTCACGATTGTGCAGCAACTACTCAACCATTGAGCCATCTCTCAAGCTCCATTTTTACATGTATTGTGTGTGTGTGTGTGGGTGTGTGTGGGTGTGACCGAATGTAGGTGGATGCATGTTCTGTCATGCCTGTGGAGGTCAGAGGGCAATTTGCAGCAGTCAGTTCTCTCTTTCCAATGTGTAGATTTTGGAGATCAGTCTCAGGTTGTAAGGATTGGAGGCAAGTATCTTTACCCAGTGAACCATTTTGCATGCCTAACATTTTGCTAGTTTTAAAAGACTCAGTCATTACGATTGGTGATTTGGTGTGATGCAGAGCACTTGCAAGTATTCACATGGTCCAAGAGAAAAATAATAATGCTTATTTTCTTATAATTGTGTACTGAGGTCTTCTTGCTATTTTGAATAGCTGTCCTTTATCAAATACCTTTTGTGAGTATTTTTTCTCTTCCTAGGACTTCGTTTTTGGTCGCTAGACAATGTCTTCCACAGAACAGAGCAGAAGGGGTTTTGTTGTTGTTGTTTGTTTACTTGTTTCTGTATTTTTTGAGACAGGATCTGCCCAAGTTAGATTGTAATCGAAGATCACTCGGCCTCAGTCTCCTGAGTGCTGGAATTTCAGGCATGTGCTAGCATACCAGGCTTTATTCAGACATTTGTTTCTCTGTTTCTGTGTACTCACATTCATATTTGTTATTTG